AGTTTTCGCTTTTTCTAATTCTCACTTGACAATCGCCTTTGATAACTACCTCAAGCCCTCTTCAACGCTCGTAGCGCATCTGTGCGGAATATGTATATTTGTTAACCTAAACCCGTTTTTGATCCCTGACCGATGAAGGACTTTCGAATACAGTGAGAAGGCTATGAGGATTTTGTGGATTGCATGCAAACTTCGAGAAACCTGGGATAATACAGAAACGCCGTACCTTCTTGTGAATAGGTCTCTGGAGAAGACCTACGGGAGACCTCAGAACTCCGTTTCGCAAACACTTTTTTGTTCCCCATAATTTTGCTTTTCTTATATCAAGCACTTTTTACGGGTCACTTGACTCAGATTACAGCGCTACAATGTAACAGCATCTACTTTCTTCATTGCTAGGGAACTCGTGTTACCTAATGAAGAAAGCGCGTTCCAAGAAAATAGCACCGCACTATATACATTGTCTGCATGCGTTTCCATAGGTTCCAAAGGGGATTTCGTAGCTTGCTGGGATTTTAAGGGTATTTGTTTTTGTAAGGCCCAACCGAGAAGTTCGTGCCAACGTCTGCGTGGTCGACATGCAGACATGAACCAGGTAGTGCATCGTTGGTTTAGACTGAATCTTGAACCTTTTGCGTGAAAACGATATACTGTAACGCAGTTTATATGGGTGAACCTTTCACAACTTTCTCTAGAGAATCTAGAGCAGATAAAGGAAACAGATTTGAGACCATTGTTTTAAGGCGCATCCTTTAATGTACAACTCTTTTTGATTGAAGGATCACATCAATATCCTTCCCTTGAATGCTTTCTAAGGCCTAACATCAAAGAAAAAAAAAGGCCAGACCAAAAGCGGTTTCATCTATGAGAAAACAGGTTGAATAAGAAAATTTTGGCTGAGATACTGGTGGAAAGAAGAAGCTGAATCTTAAGGAGTTCACTGAAATTCAAGCTATACTGCCATTTGCAGGCGTTAGATACAGAGATTAGATTTTAATTATTTTCGGTAAAGAAGAGACAGAGGTCGTACCTCTGAAATAAGCAGACAGAAAACTACATAATGGAGTTAGCAGTCTGACTGCGAACTCTAACTCAGCGCAGACGATGAGGGAAGGCTCAGCAGGGATTCACTTTATTCAGTAGGATCTATATGGCATATCACAACGTCCTTAAACACACTGCTTTCATCATTCACTTAGGTCTTAAGGATCGCCTTTACTAGCATAATTATTAAGTATTAGTATAGATAAAAGAAAGATAGAATTCCTGAGATGGAATAATATGTACTGCGGCGACATGTATATTTACACGAAGTTTGTTCCTTGTCTACTGCGATGGTTGCTAATTACACCATCGTTTTAAGTTATGCGATCAATGGAGAAAAGAAAAGAAAACTTTGCCTTCTTCGCGCTCCTATTTCCTCCCCAGCGGTATATTCGTGCGTAGAGCTCCAAATCAGTTCTGAAGGTTTCGCACTATAGGAGTAACAAGAGGTGTTGCTGGATGGGTGTTAGAGGGAAAACAAAGCAAACTTGTGCTGGTGACTTCAGAAATGTGAAAACTCCCAGGCTTGAGCAGTCGTACTAATGGAAAGACAAACTGTAAGAATAGCTGGCAAAGAACTACGCATATGTACTGCCTATCTTTTTCTCGACTAATTTTTATGTACCCTGTGAAAAGTAATCATAATTCCATTTTTCAACGGAAACGGCACTGTTGCTAAATTGAGTGACTTGAGTTGAAAACTGTTTGGTGAGTACCTCGACGCCAGTACTGCCGACTGGCTATTCAAAGTCATAATAGGAGTCATAAAAGGTTGGTTACCCTCATCTCCTACCAATCGCACCATGACATCTCATTCGGGCGCAGAAGCAACTCCCAGCGCGGTAAGAGCAAACCTCGCACGCGCTGCACCCAGGAGCAGTGCGGTTGGATGAATGTGGTGTGCAGTTAAGAGAATAGTGCGTTGTAATGGAGCGCATAGACGCAGCGCACCTTGATCTGGGTCCAATAGAGCTTTCAAGGTGCGGTATATATATGGAAAATTTGGATGCTCATACATGATTCATTCAGTTTTTGAAATCATATATGTGAGACACGAAATTAACTTTACCATCAAGAAAATTAGCTTTGCCTTGATAGGGCAGTCTCTACAAGTATGCGAATAAATGGATGCCGGGTTTTAGCTCCCTTGAACATGCTTCACGATTTGTACAAAGCGCCTTGAAATAGAAAACAATCAAGGCAAACGAAAACCTAACGGAATTTGCATCCAGAAAATGGCTTTTAATCAGATCAGTCAAGCGACGAATGGAGCGGAAAATAACGCGAATGTGCACAAGAGCGCGTACATCACATATCATTGCATCGTTGTAATCGTAATCTCTAGCAGCCTATGACTCGTGATAGTTTGAAATATCCTACAAATTAATTGGTCCAATGAAATAGGAAAAGCCCACATTACTGCGAGAGAAGAGTGAAGGGGAGAACAAATTCAGAAATCAAGAAGGAAATCGTTCGTTAGGTCGAATGACCTTATTAAGAAATTAAGTTATTCGGCTCAAAGCTAACTTGAAATCTCTGT